CTGCAACTGTATGGGATTGAGGCCGCCACCGTGGGTGGGAGACCTGTGGCAGGTCAACCAGGTCCACCCCTATATAAGAGCCAGCCAACCTTCAGGGAGTCGACATTCAGTCTTGCTATGCTGGCTTGACGCTGGCTTGACGCTAGCCGGACGCTAGCTGGACGCTGGCTGAACGCTGGCTGAACACTGGCTGTACGATGGCACTGTGGACGACGACGCGAGACTGCTGCTGCACGCTGGCGCCTTCCTGCTGTGGCGCCAGCCTATGCTGACGTGGCGCAAGGCCACGCTGTCTTCGACATTGCTGATGTGGCACATGCCACTCTGTCTTCATTGGTGACGTAGCGTTTGCTACACTGTCTACATTGCTGAGTTGGACACGACAAGGAAGGAGATCGGGATCTGTGGATGACTGAGAGGGAGTGGGATCCTTACCTGCTGTTGATGTCGATACTGAGTGCTGCTGAACGTCTTCAACGTCTTCACGAGAACTGTGCCACGTGGCACTTCATTGTGATCAGGATCTGTCAGGCTCGTTGTGGGATACTGTTTTGCTGACGTGGAGGCGAGGGGAAGCCCGGAGGAGTGGGAAATGTTGGGCTACTCTCTTTGTGGTCATTGATGGTACTATCTTTTCCATCTTCTCATCAGTCTATTCCCCCTCCACTCTCTTTGTCTACTGGAAACGAGACATTGTATCAGAGATCACATTCATGATTATTGGACACATTGTTCAGAGTTGAGTTACCTTGTATTTCGACATCTGGTGAGTATCCTACAGACTGGGTTCAGTACACTAATTCTTTTAAACCACTAGTACCCCTGCCAGTGTTGGGAATTACAAGTTTTAGCCGGTTCCCGAAGAAATTGGGAGTCGCAGCAGGCTTGACATCGATTCCCAAAATGATTAAAAATTGAAATTTTATTTTTTTGGGCGCCGGTTTTCGGACAAGGTTGACCCCTTTTCGTTCCTCGATGGTGGGTGCATTGTGGAAACGCTACTGGGTCCTACCGGGGAGGGTTTGGGTGTGGCAGGTCGGTCGTTCCGTGCTGAGCGGTCGTCCGCCCTGGGAGACTGGACGACTGTCTTCGCGGCCGACCCGCTTCCCTCCACGCGCGAAGGACCGCCTACTGCAGACGTCCCCGTCTAGGGTTCTCCCCCGGCCACCATCACATCTCTCTCTCTCTCTCTCTCCATTTCTCTCTCTTTCCATCTCTCTCTCTCCATCTCTCTCTCTCTCACACACACGCGCACGTGTGCATGCAAGCTGGTCCCTATCAGCCTCTCTCTCTCGCTCGGCTGACAGACATCAGATGCACATAAGAAATTCTCTCTCTCTCACACACACACACATACACTTACATGGCTTATCACCACCAGGGCGAGCTGTTGCAGACCAAATCCTGCAGCAGCTAAACACCCTTGCTTTAGATCAATCCCCGTCATCACCTGCCCATAGAGAGGGAATAAATACTGAGGAAACCCAAGAAGCCTGCTCAATTCCACTTTGCGATGACCCACCAGCTAGAATGTGGTTCACATGGCTTGTGCCGCGTGGATTATGAAGGGATAGTCCATGCGAGTTTTTGTCTTCATACGTATGATGACAGTCAATACTGCACTCATGTACGGCATCCTGACATGTCATGTCCATTTTGTAGACGGGCTGGAGCGGCAATTCCTCGATTGCGGTCGGCGTGCCTCTGTGCATGTAGGAGCCACGTGGCCTGTGACATCTGTCTACACCGTGCCATTCAATGCGTCAACTGGGACTGAGAGAAGTGGATGTGGTGCTTCCGCAGTCCACACCTAAACCGGTCCTGTCGGGTCAGTAGGGGTGGCCACTCACCGTAGGTAACCACCGCTCCTCAATTCAAAATCTTATACAGCCCGAACACTGACTGGCCTTAGGTGTCATTCTAGAGTAGTCTGTTCCAGCGGTGACGATTCGGAACCCTGTCAGAATTCCACCTCCCATTTCCTTTCTCCATCTTCTTGGAGAGAGGTTGACGGACATCATCATGCATGGGCGTGCGAGAGACTCTCTCTCTCTCTCTTATGTGTGCGTGCGTGTGTGCATGCTAATGTTTATCATCCTCGTGCGTGTGTGTGTGGGAGGGAGAGAGAGAGAGAGAGAGAGAGAGAGAGAGAGAGAGAGAGAGAGAGAGAGAGAGAGAGAGAGAGAGAGAGAGAGAGAGAGAGAGAGNGAGAGAGAGAGAGAGAGAGAGAGAGAGAGAGAGAGAGAGAGAGAGAGAGAGAGAGAGAGGCTGATGGACATCAGCGTGCGCACAAGCACATGCACAAGAGTGTCTCTCTCCCTCGCACACACACGTGCCCAGCACATGCACAAGAGCGTCTCTCTCTCCCTCCCACACACACATGCCCGGTGCTGCACCCCAGGTAATTCAAAATTATTTTGTTCTGTTCATCTTATCGCAGCTGGATTCAAACTTGGGTCTGTATTTCAACAGTTCATTGGGTGTACCAACTGAGCTAGGCCCGGTGGTGCATTCATGCTTGTATTATTGTATGCTCTCTCTCAAGTTTAATCCTGGGTGCAAAACCCTAGGTCGACCCAAGGACAAGATTTGCCACTAGGAGAAATGGAAAGAAGAGAGCATGAGCGGAAAAAATAGAAAATGACGCAAGGTGTTCTCCATGGTTACGCCGGACCCGAACACCGGACCAGTCCAGACATCCGGCCGGACCTGTGTCTGGACCGCTCCAGACCGTCCAGATTGAAAAAAGTTAAAAACCCCTTTCTATTTTTTTTCCCTTGGATTTGGCTACGACTTTCGAGATGGTCCTCGGCCAAAAGATTTTTGTATTGCAATGCTGCACAACATATCTTTTTTTCAGATTTTTGTAAAAGTCGGATGTTGTTTTCAGGGTGGGGGTGGGGGGATGGGACCCGGACACTCTGAACCGTACACCAGACCCGGACATCCAGACCCAGACCGTCGGCACTGCAGTCTGGACGTCCGGATCGTAACCATGGGGTTCTCCCTTATTCGAATATGCACCCAGGGCTTTAATTGTGATTGCGATTGTGGGAGTTATGACGTCCTTTTTTGTGGCGACCTCAGGAATTTTACAAAATGATTTAAAAAGGGTTGTTGCTTATTCTACTCGATGAAGAAGAAGAGGAAGCAAATAATGAGTAGAATCAACCCATTAATCTTCCTTCCCCCCCCCCCCCGTCTTGTAATCTCCATCATCTCCCTCATGTCTCCTCATCCTCTTTGTTGCATTGTATTCTTTTTTCTTTTTTTAATAGCATTGTTGTATTCTTAAACCATCAGTACCTCTGAGCCTCTGTTTGCCGACGCGGATCTGCACTGCGCGCCAAAGAAAAACGAACCGCCAGCGGCACACTGCATTTCTTTTTTTTTGGCTGGTCCGGTAGCACTGTTCATCCGAAGAGGCCAGATTGACGCAAACCATCTTCCCCCGAACACTAAGCCCCCTGATTATGGGCCTCGCTGCACTACTCTTGAAATGCACAAAAGACAAAAATCATGGCCGTGTATCTGTCCATATTCTAGCGGAAGATTCACTCTCGTTTTTCACATTTCTAGAGTAGTGCAGCGAGGCCCTATGAATGTATACAAGCTACCTTTCGGGTCCCTTACATTCAAAATGAGGGTGTGTTGTATTCCGGAGAAGACGGTAGCATTTGCTCTTGGGAATGAACTCCTTCCAGCTCCACTTTCCCCAAACTTTTTTTTTTTTTTTGTAGCACTGCTATTCCCAGCATGTCATCGGCCCAAACAAACCGGGAATAGCCGTGCTATGAAAGACCCAAACTTCGTCTTTTATAGCACTGCTATTCCCAGCGTGTCATCGACAGCCACAAGCAAGATGCAAGGAAGTCCCGCAACTCCATCCTTTACGCCTGAAACTCATTTGACCCAAACCAAGGGCCTACTGGCGCTATGCTGCCTGCCGTCTTGTGAGGTGCACGGGACCTCACATGATCTTCAGACGGAACGGATGAGACATGATCTTGCTCGGAAGTGAAAGGAACAAGACCTTTTGTTCTCAGATTTGGCAGTGTGAACAAATCTCCCCCTCCCCTCCCCGTTTTCTACTAGTAGTTCTCTAGTGCTTTTTTTTTTTCCCTTCTGAATTCTCATTTTGTTGGAGCTTCGTAAGAAAAAGTAGTCTCGTTTGTTCTGCTAATGACAATATCTTTTCTTGTAAAAAAAAAAAAAAAAAAAAAAAAAAGTAGTCTCTATGACTAAATGTTATGTCGACCCATTGGGTCAGTCCATGATGGTTTTTGCACTGTTCCTCACCGACGATGTCTGCCCGTGACGCTACCCACTACCTCGCCTCTTGTGGATGTATACTACACGTCTAGTTGTCGATAAACAGATCATGAGCTCACATCCTGCTGGATCACTCCTATACCATTACGATACCTGTAGGTGCTATGAATGTGACACACCTGTAGTTTTTGATAAACAGATCATGAGCTCAAATCCGTGTGGATTACTGAAATGACATTACAATGTGCAGTGATGCTTCTTCTTCTCTTTTTTTTTTTTCTTTTTTCTTTTTTAACAGGTCCTTATGGCCCTGGCTCCATGTCCATTCTGGGCAGTGATGCTTATTGTGGTGATCTCTTACTTCTTTTGCAGACAGTAAGTACTGTCTATTTTTAGCTAAGATAATCATAGTTATGTAACTGTTGATAGACAGAGCATGAGCTCATCATATTCTGGTGGATTACTACAATAACATTATGATGTCTGTGATGCTTTTTTTGTGCAGTTCTTCCTTCTTTTTAAGCATGCGCTTCCTGTTGACCTAGGGTGGTGAACCAAAAATGATTTTGCCTAAACAAATAAAAAGGATATGCAAAAATAAACTAGTTTGGACTGACTTGTCACTGTTAATAAACAGTAGGGAGTTTAAACTTTGAATCCTGGTGGATTACTGCAATAACATTATGGTGTCCGTGATGTCTTTGGCGCTGCTCATATTGCTTCTGCAGAGAGAACTGTCGATTAGCTAAGAGATCGTCACTTCAAGGACGGAGCCACTTGGAGTGGCTCTCTGTGGTCTGGGGACGGCTACACTTATATAGAGTCGGTCCCAGCATTGTTGATGACGATCTGGACGAGGGGTTGATGGCTCAGCTCAGCTTTGCGGGAAGAGGAAGGTGGTGAGAAGAAATGGAGACGGAAAAGAAGCGAGACAGGTGGGAAAGAGTGGATGACAGTGATAATGAGCCATGGAGACACGGGGAGGATGGGAGAGAGAGCTTGATGATGGGCGGTGTACGTCATAAGACACGAGAGGGATGGGAGAGGGAGAAGAGAACTTTGCACAGTCTAGATGATGGAGGTGAAGTAGAGGATGATGGTGGGGGTAGATTGAGTGTAGGCAGGAGGAAGAGAGAAAGCCGAGGGAGGAGCAGGGAACGTTCTGAAGAAGATGATGAGGACCAGCGACGATCAGCTGGGGAGAGGGAGCGTGAGAAGGCGAGGAAGAGGGAGAGTCGAGAGTATTCGGACAAAGAAGCAGAGGATGATAGGCGTCCTGTGACTACGGACAAAGAGAGGGTGAGGGATACGGATAAGGAAAAGGGGAGGGGTAGGGACAGGAGGAGGGAGAGAGATAGGGGGAGGGATAAGGAAAGGGATAGAGAAAGAGATAAGGGGAGGGATAAGGACAGAGGGAGTGGGAGGGAGAGGGGCAGGGACAGGGAGAAGAGAAGGGAGAGAGAGAAGGGGAGTGAGAGGGAGGGAAGATATTTCTCAGGATCAAAGAGATCACAAGAGAGGAGCAGGGACAAAGGTGAAGTAGAAGAGACTCTGGAAACGATCAAACAAGGCAATCGGCAGTTGCTAGGGAGAGATGGTGTGGAGCACCATGGCAAAGAAGTTAGCGGTATGAGACCTGACGGTGCTAATGGGACCGCTGCGGAGGAGCTGGTCAGTGGGCACAAGAGGGATCATCGTGCAGAATTTGCGGAGACGAAGCCAATCGAGAAGGATGCCGACAAGAGCCCTTCGAAGCACCAAACCGAAGGAGATGTCACTGGCGAACACAGTGAACAGCTGAGTGGTGAAAAAAAAAGAAGTGAAAAATGTCCTAGAAGAGGTGACGGCGGTCGGGAGGACAGTCTTGACGGTCACAGCGATGGAGGTCCAAGAGAGAGAGGCAAACACAGAGATGGAAGACGGGAGGGTGGCGAAAAAACAAGAAGGGAGAAGAGAAGATGGAAACGCCGAAGAGTGAGCAGCAGTGAAGAGAGTGAGTATACCAGTAGCGGGGACTCGTCGGAGGACAGCGAGTCGGAAAGTACTAGTGGGAGTGAGTCATACTCATCGGAGAGTGATAGTGAGAGTGATAGTGACGAGGAGAGGGAGAGGGAGAGGAGGAGGAGACGCAAGGAAAAGGAGAAGAGGAAGGAGAAAGAGAGGAAGAGAGAGAAGGAGAGGGAGAAGAGGAAGAGAGAGAAGAAGAGGAAGAAAGAGAAGAAAGAAAAGCAGGCAAGGAAGGCAAAGCAGAAAAAGGAACAGGACAAGGAGAAGGGGTCAATGCGAGGAGCTGTCACTGCTCAGTGGGGAACGCACGGGCTCATCAAGGAGATTGACATGTGGTAAAGCTCTCTCTCTCTCTCTCTCTCTCTCCCTCTCTCTCTCTCTCTGTCTGTCTGTCTGTCTGTCTGTCTGTCTGTCTCTCTCTCTCTCTCTGTCTCTGTCTCTCTCTCTCTCTCTCTCTCTCTCTCTCTC